TGACGCGAGCTCTTCTTCGAGTGCTTCGAGCCCTCGATGGGAGCCATCGGTCCGTCCAAAGATCAGCCGCATCGACTTCGATGTGATCGAGATCGAGAGTTCCGAAGTTCGGCGGGGACGTCCCGAACCGGCGGTCGGTTCCCGCGCAGGCGCGCGGCGCGGCGCGCGCGGCGCTCCGGGACCTCGTCGCCGCCAACGACGCGCGGCTCTTCGGCGGGCGCCTCGCCGCGCTCGCGGCGCGCGTGCCCTGCGGCGCGCCGCGCGCCGCCGCGGCGCCGCGGCGCCGCGCCGCGGCGGTGCTCGTGCACCCGCGCTGGTCCTGCGGCCTCGAGGGCGTCGTCGAGACGTTCCTCGACCACCTGCCGACGGACGTGCCCGTCCTCTGGTTCACGGACGACGAAGAAGCGACGGCCGCGGGCGCGCCGCCGGTCTGCGACGCCGCGGGCGCCGTCGCGGCCGCGGCCGCCGCGGGCCGGCTCGAGACGCGGCGGCCGGGGTCCCTGGGGCCCGGCGAGGCGCTGACCCAGTTCCACTACAGCCAGCTGCGCCTGTCGCCGGCCTTCCACGCGTCCCTCGGCGCGTCCAAAGTCCTCTTCTTCGAGTCGGACACGGTGCTCTGCGGGTCGCCGACGGTCGGCTTCAGGGCAGCACAAGAGAGCGAAATTCCCAACTTCAAAGGCTCCGATCTCGGCCATTTTCCACTCGTTTCGGCTGATTTTTGGACGAGCGATCATCTCTCGGAACGGTGTCGACGCGTGGGCGCTTTTTCCGGAACGCGCGCGCGCGGAACACTCACGTTGAAGCGACGTTGAATCACTCTTGTGCTGCCCAGGTCGGCTTCGACGCGTGGCTCGCGGGCGCGGCGGACTACGTCGGCGCGCCCTGGCCGGCGGACGTCGGGTGGTGCCCCGGGGGCGCGCCCTGCTGCTGCAACGCGGGGCTCAGCCTCGTCGACGTCGACGCGTTCCTGAGGCTTTTCCGCGCGAACGCGACGCGGTCGGACCGCGCGGCCGCGGCGGGGAACGTGCTCGAGGCGCAGTGCGACATGCTCTACCTCGACCTCCAGGCCAAGGGCCTGCTGGACGGGTTCGCGCTCGCGGATCCGGAGCGCGCCCGCGGCTTCTCCGTGGAGGCCGTCGCCGCGCCGCCGGGCGTCGTGCCCTTCGGCGTCCACAAGCCCTGGTGGGCGCTCGCGCAGTACCCGAAGAACCTCTCGGCGCTCGCGGCGACCTGCCCGGAGGTCGCGCGGCTCTGCCCCTACGCGCGGGACGCGCTGAAGAACGCGAACCCGCGCCACGACTCCGCGCCGTTCCTCGCGGAGGTCTGCGACCACGACGCCGCGGCCATCGAGCACCACCGGATCAACGGCAAAGACCAGCACCACTTCGAGCGAGAGCACTAAGCACGACGAGGTGGGGCGGCAGTCTTCCGAGATATGCTCGCGCGCTGCATATCGAGCGCGCCTCCGCTGAAGCCGACGTTGAAGGATCCGGAGGGCTCTCACACGATGGCAGCCCGCAAGCCCATCTCCGTGCGCTACGTCGACGGGCACGGCGCGCTCGTGTCCGTGACCGTCGAGGCGCCGATGGCGGCGACCCTGCGCTGGCTGGCGTCGGCCGTCGAGGCCGCGGGCTGCGAGCGCGTCGCGTGCCTCGCGACGCGCAGCGGGCGGTCGCTGGACATGGCGACGACGGTCGGCGCGCACGTGCTGTCGCGGCGGGACCTGCTGGCGCCCGTGGAGCTCGGCGCCCGGTGCGCGGCGCCGCGCGCGGCGATCCTCGACGGCGCGGCGCCGCGGGCCGAGCTCTCGGCCGGCGCCGTGATCGCGGTTGTTTCGCTCCGCGTGCCCGCGGTCGTCCGGGGCGCCGTCGGCGCGGCGCGCTTCGCGGCCGCGGGTGACCTGACGCCGCGCCTCGCCGCGGAGCTGCTGCGGTCCCTCCCCGTCGACGCGTGCCGGCCCGCGTCGTTCCCCGGCGGCGGGAACGTCTTCGAGACCGCGTTCCCGGAGCCGCTGCGGCCGCCGGC